TCAATATCACTGAAGTAACTGATCAAACCACTGACAAGGAAAGAAAATCTTATAATGTCAGATAACTTTGCAAGTATCCAATTTTAGGGCCAATTAGCTTTGACTGCTGGTTAGGACCACTTTCTGGGTGCATTTAAATATCTAGTGTGCGTACATATGTAGATGATTCAATTTTTAGCTATTTCAGAGGGTTTGATTTGGTCATCTCTGCATACTATAGTATGTCAAAACTTAAGGAGTATTTGACCCCAAATGACCTTTGTAGCCCCCTAATCCTCAATGTCAGTCCTTATATCCTCCAATAAATCTCAAGCACCACATTCAAGTGACTGTTCACATGACTATTTCTGAGAAATCAACATTCCAACGACAGTTGCGATAATTGGTTTTGAGACAAGTGATATTCAAAAAACTGTTGAGATAACTATTTTTGAATAGGTGACATTCAAGATATTCTTAAGGTGACTGTTTTTGGGGATAGGTGACATCCAAGACACTGTTGAGATAACTGTCTTTAAGATAGGCGACATTCAAGCTGCATACCTGTTTTTGAGATAAGTGCAGCAAGCATCTTTGACTGCCTGCATGTTGAGAAAGCTGGCAACGATGAGAAGTGACTGGACATTGTTGGAATCAATGACTACATATCCAGTGTAGGCAAAGTTGATCAAAGCCTCAAGAGCTCTGAAATAATTAAGTGATTTAAGCATTTCCTCTTTATAAGCAGCGACACAAAAAGATAATGTTCTATCTTTTCTCTCAGTCTTTTGAGCTGTCATAAAATAGATAGAATTATTTATAGCCCATAGTAAGTTTGAAGTAAACTTCATCCTCCTATTTATTTCCCAAGATAGGACAGATATTTTCTCTTCTACATTATTATAAAAAAAAGGTCATTTATGCACACAAAGCGCATGTATATAATGACACCATAACAAAGTTTAAAAAATGTTTTAAAGAGCAGGCACAGCAGTCCCCTACCCTTAATAAATTTTTCATTATACCTACAAAATAATGAGAGAAATTTTTTTAAAGTTCAGATAGGTGCAGATCTACAGCATTTTGAAAACAAAAATGGCATTTATTTCACATAAAAAATGTTAAGTAAATTGTGTTATTAGAAAGGGCACAAGGAAAGTACAAGAATAAAGGCAATAAATCATTAGTGGCCTACGTATGATGCAGGTCGTACATTTAAAAACACCACATAAAAATACCAAAGAAATAATACAAATTCAATACAACCTTTCTGCATAGAATTTATGCTGATTTTGGTCTGTCAAACCCATTTCAACTCAATTTTGGTTTTTCTCAACCCAAATTGGTTATTGTGAATCTCAATATACTTATTTAAGAACACAAAACAAATATTTTCTCTCTGGCTGTACCTAGTGTACCTCAAGTTACTTAACAGTGGATCACTCCTCGGATCCAGAGACAGAAGATCAATCCAAGAAAAGAACAGGGAAAAAAACTGGATGAGGAAGAAAAAGAAGGAAAGAAACAGGAAGAGAAAAGAGAAGAGGGAGTGGAGAAGAAAAAAAAAAAAGGAGGAGGAGGAGGAGGAGGAGGAGGAGGAGGAGGAGGAGGAGGAGCAGAAGGAGAAGAAGTAGAAGAAGAAGAAGAAGAAGAAGAAGAAGAAGAAGAAGAAGAAGAAGAAGAAGAAGAAGAAGAAGAAGAAGAAGAAGAAGAAGAAGAAGAAGAAGAAGAAGAAGAAGAAGAAAAAGAAGAAGAAGGAGGAGGAGGAGGGGGAAGGGGAGGGGGGAGGAGGAGGAGGGGGAGGAGGAGGAGGAGGAGGAGGAGGAGGAGGAGAAGAAGAAGAAGAAGAAGAAGAAGAAGAAGAAGAAGAAGAAGAAGAAGAAGAAGAAGAAGAAGAAGAAGAAGAAGAAGAAGAAGAAGAAGAAGAAGAAACAATACATTTACCAACACTTCAGGATATCCACATGGAGTATACAAACAACAATCTTACCCTGGCTCAATACTTTCCATTGTGATCTCGGCTTGTTTTGTCTCCACCATATCATGCGTAAACATGGCATGGAAATACGGGATGGTTGCAGCCAAAATGATTCGATGGGCAGAGAATTTCTGGTCCCCCACCTACATCCAAGACAAAAAATACAGAAATATTGTAATCCTGGAAAAAAACAACTATTTTGTACACCCAGCACAGCATGTAAAATTGATTTACAACCCCAAAATTGCAAAGTCAAGTAATGACTCACCCTTCAAACACTATGGGTGTAAAAGAAAGTGCAAAATTGAGAAGAGATGCTCGTGAAATCAGGCACTCTTTAAAATAATGCAACACAAGAAACTGACATTTTTCCACAGGTCAGGAATTTCTATCCAATTTTTGTTTTTTGGCTAAACACCTTTCATGCTCTTGAAAGAACACATTTCTGCATGGATTATACTGAAAAATATTGAATTAAGGCACAAAAATGTAAATTTGCGGTTTCTAAGGACTATCAAGCTTTGGAAGTTGCCAAACTTTGGCGACCATTTTCTCGCTAATTTTACCTCTGAAACTAGGCGACCCCCACCTCCTTCAATCGCAAATATCTCAACTTCTATTTATGATAGATGGCTATTTTTTGCACCGAAAACAAGAAAAAATGAACAAGCTTTAGAGTGATACCAATAACTCAACGAAAACACAATATGAACAAGGAAAGATTTAAAAATGCAAAGATCCAGTGTGCACATAATAAAAGAAACTGATCAAAACAACAGAAAAATGAGTCCTCTATTTTGCTGTTTCAATGATGTGTGTTGCTAAAACAAATCACGAAACATACATCCAGCCAAGCAGCCTACACATATAAATGTAGGCAAGCTAAAAAGTTACAATAATATTATGTTTATCAAACTTTTGATACATCCCAAATAATAAAGCAATCTTAAAAAAAAAAAATTACTATTTCAAAAACAGATCTCAGCACACAAGCTTAACCACAGCCTTAATTCTTTTTAAATGACTGATTTACTCAGCAAAGGTAAGATTCATCATCATCTTTGCCTTTATCATCCTGGTTTAGGGTAAAGGTGACCAACAAAATAGCTTCTTAACATCATTCCATGTTATTCCACTCTCTGTGATTCTTCTCCAGGTTGCAGTGTTGCACTTAGCCTTCCCCTTGAACTCTTGACTCATGGTTTCCTATCCAACACTTTTCTGTTACACAGCTTCCTGAGGATATGTCCAATTCATTACCACCTCTTTCTTTTGTGACTGAGCTGTCTTTTTCTTAATCTTCAATAATGACCTACATTCATGATTCTGTGATTCTGTGGCATCATGGTGAAATCATAAGCTCATCAAAATAATGAAATCAAAGAAACCTGCATTCTCCCGCTTCTTGGGAAATTTATATCATTTTTTAAAAAACACATTTCAGTGATCACAACAAAAAAAATGTAAATTTGCAAATTCCGAGGACAGTAAAGCTTAGAGAGTCAATAAACTTAGCCAACCATTTTCTTGGTAATTCTACCTCTGACACCATTTGACCCCACCTCCTTCAAACACAAATTAAATCTCGACCTCTATTTAAGATAAATTGGTATAATTTTCATCAAAAAGCAAGACTATAAATGAACAAGCTTTAAGATCAATAATTCCATATATGCCCCAAAACTGCAAAGTTTGATTCTACACTGCTTCATTACAAATAAATTTTGCTTATATGCAAGGAATTTCCTTTGATTTGACATACATCTTATGCCTTACGCAACAGTTTATAAAACCCCTTTTGATGAGGAAAATATTTACCAGGAAAAAAATTCCCCAAAAATGGGCACAAAATTATGTGTGCTGTGGGGTGGGGGTTTTGGGAGTTTTGTTTTTGGTAAGTGTTCTACGGCAGAGCCAAGGAGTAGTAGAGTAGAAAGGCTGCAGACAGAGTCAGGAGCCAAGAGGAGGGGGCAAAGGAGGTGAGGGGGTATGGGGAAAAAACAGAGACGAAAGCAGACGACAGAACATTGTTAGAGAACGAGAAAGGAAGTGAAAGGAGATAATACTAATTAAAGCAGACCATTTTCCGAGGCTATCCGGATTCGAACCCGGGACCTATTGAATGAGAGGCCAACACCTGTCATAAAGGCATCTCTCCGCTCCCCCCCACCCCTTCACGGGCCCCCTTTGATAAATTCCTCTATAAAAACAGAAACCTGTCTAGATCTAGCCTGGAAACGAATGAAAAATCAGCTCTCATCCGAGGGTTTTTACCTGCCTAAGTTGGAAAAATGCTGTGCCTCTCATCCCTGATCTGAAACTAAACTGATAAAGTCCGGTTCCATTGCTCTAACCTTTACGTCATGCCGCCAGGCGAGGAAGGGGAGTAGGAGTGCAATTCGGGAATAGATTTTAACCCATCTATGATGTGAGCCCTTTGCAGTGCAGATGGTCAGGGTGGCGTATGAAATTTCACCAGTGCTTGTGAAAGTGCTTGAGTGGTGTTCCAGTGCTGAAACTTTCATGGGCAGCCAGAGAGAGACCATTGTTGTGAAATTAATTTGACTAATGCCTGCCGCTCTGATAGTACAGACAGCCGAGAAAAAAAATCCTCGAATCGCTGTTACATGCACAGGAGGGGTGAGACTTGTTGACTGTTCTACTAATTGATTGTGGTAAGGATGGACAGAAAAGAGATGTTCAAGCATTTCTGCTTTTAATAGATGTAGGCGTCAAGTGCTTTCCCTTCTGATAAATTTAATTAATAAATTAATAACATGCCATGCCTCAAACCCACTCATACAGTGCCACCATTGTTTGCATTTCATTATTAAAAACAGAATGCTTGAACATCTCCTTTCTGTCCATCCTTAGCCTTAGCACCACCAATTAGTAGAACGGTAAGATTGAACTTTGGTGGACCCAACACTGAACAAAACCGGAACCACTTTTGAGCTTAGCTGTGCAAAGCTCCATTTTTATGTTTTTGTTTTGCAAGCGTGTTTTTTTTAAATTTTTATTGTTTCCAGTCAGGGGGGCAGGCCCCCCTGAAACCCCCCACTGTTATAGAGCTAGATCTAGTAGTGCACATTACATTAATTAATACATGATGTAAAAACAGTGGGTCCGCCAAAGTTCAATCCAGCCTATTGATAGGACTCAAAGTCAAAAGTGTGAAGTTTTGACCACTGCTTGCCGAACGGACAAGCGACCCTTAGTCCGACCAGCCGGACCTCTGAGTCTGAAACCCTCTTCCATCTCCCCCTAAATTCCCCAGTCTAAAATAGCAAACGCAAACGTCTAAGTCTAAGATGGAATTATGTGTGTGTGTGTGTGTGTGTGTGTGTGTGTGTGTGTGTGTGCGTGTGCGTGTGTGTGGAGTGTGTGTGTGTGAAGTTTAATATTAATATAATAATAATAATAATGTAGAATCTAGATCTAGAATATGTAGAAAGTAGAAGTAGAAGTTATGGCGATTGTGTAGATTTCCGCGTTAAATTCCGATACTATACGGGACATCTGACAAACTCTTTTATTCATATTTACAAGAATATATGTGGAAGCAACATTTAAGGAAAACATTTTTGGAAATATTCTGTATTGGATTTCATTTTATTACTCTGTTTAATGGTAAGTTCTAGATCTAGGGCTTATAGGCCGATTAAAACTAGTATCGGATAGTGATGGGCCGATACCACAATTTAGGTATCGATGTCGATACCTAGTACTTTTTCAGGGTATCGATATCGATACCTCGATACCTAATGCTATTGGTAACATACGCCTGGGTTAATAAGTAAAGACAAAAATACAACTATACTTTTCCAAGTATTTAGGTAATCGTGTCTAGACAAGTTGTGACTATTTAGCTGAGACTCAAACAAAAATTATTTGTGAGAGAGAGAGAGAGAGAGAAAGAGAGAGAGAGAGAGAGAGAGAGAGAGAGAGAGAGAGAGAGAGAGAGAAAGAGAGAGAGAGAGAGAGAGAGAAAGAAATACCCAAATATGAGAATAAAAACTAAAATTAAGTGAAGTATGGGAGGAAAGTCAACTTTGCAGAAAATGTTAGTATTGGAAAATAAAATCACAAGAGTTCTAAAAAGGCAATTCAATTTACCAGATTTTTAGCAACTTTAAATTAAACCAATGAGGATAAATCAGGGTTGTCAGTGAAGATTTTGCAAAATCACTAGATACATTTCATGAAAAACTTCTCTCTTTTTCTAAAAAAAATCACTAGAATAATTTAAAACGCTTGCCCCCTACGAAAACTTATCAGTTTTGATAAACAAAAAATTCTCAAGGCCCAAGTCCCTTGCTTTGGCAGCCCTGGGATAAATAGCACATAAGTATCGATGTTTAGAGCAGGTATCGGTACCGATACCTCCTATAGGTATCCAATGATAGTACATAACAAGATGGGCCACTTCTCTCTTTGAGCCAATTAAAAAAGTGTCCTCAAAATTTGGTGGCGCCCTCTTCACAAAAGCGCACTCTTTGCGAACAGAGTTACCCTACTTGAATTTTAAAAAATCAAAGTGAAACTAGCAAGTTTTGGGATAAATTACGGAAGAACACTTTTTACGCTGACAAAAAGAAAGTGGCTATTCTCACCCGCCCGGAAGTTCTCGCAAGATCAACTCCTCCCCTCTTCTTTCTCTCTCTGTCTCTTTCTGAATACTGTCTATCGGTGTGGACGATCAAATTGACCAAAACAAAGTTAAAAAATGATGTTAAAACACAAAAGTAAATTAATTTGGTTGTCTACAAAGATGCTACGGCTATTTAACTTTTCGAATCGAGCCGAACTACGCGGGTCGCCATTTTGTTTTGCCCGGAAATTCTCGCGCTACTCCTCTCTCTCTTTCTCTCTCCACTGCCCACAGACAAAATTGTACGCTTTTAGTAGGCTACAGTTGTAATGGAACGTTTGTTCACGGCACAGAATTCTACAATTTTTCCTCACAGTGTAGAATTCTATGGTTTAGGGTGAACGCAAAATTTGGTGAACGCGCACCGGGTGAAAATAGCCACAAGACTCGCCTGCACTATTCTCACTCCGGGTGAGAATAGAGGTGGCCCGACAAAAAACCTCTTCCGGAGGAAAGGGTGATGGTTTTCTTCGTTTAATTTGACTTTAGAATGAAAGGCGAGAGTTCATTAAAATTTTAAAAAACTAAAACTCCGCACTGAACGTACCCGAACTGCTGATGAACAGCAGTCGATCTGCGCACGCAAGGAGGTGCTATTCCTATTCTTCTTCTGGAAAAACGAAAGAGACTGCAGCGCCATCTGAAGCAAAGGCAAAGAGCATACTTCCTGCGGACACTTTTTTGGCTGAGTGGCCCATCTTGTTATTCACTATCTTTGAGCAATGATAGTACATAACAAGATGGGCCACTTCTCTCTTTGACTTTGAGCCAATTAAAAAAGTGTCCTCCAAATTTGGTGGCGCCCTCTTCACAAAAGCGCACTCTTTGCGAACAGAGTTACCCTACTTGAGTTTTTAAAAATCAAAGTGAAACTAGCAAGTTTTGGGATAAATTTCGGAAGAACGCTTTTTTAAAATGGTTACGCTGACAAAAAACCTCTTTCGGAGGAAAGGGTGATGGTTTTCTTTGTTTAATTTGACTTTAGAATGAAAGGCGAGAGGTCATTAAAATATTTTAAAAAACGAAAACTCCGAACTGAACGTACCCGAACTGCTGATGAACAGCAGTCGATCTGCGCACGCAAGGAGGTGCTATTCCTATTCTTCTTCTGGAAAAACGAAAGAGAGCTTCAAAACAGACTGCAGCGCCATCTGAAGCAAAGAGCATACTTCCTGCGGACACTTTTTTGGCTGAGTGGCCCATCTTGTTATGTATTATCATTGTTTTGAGGTATCTAAGTATCGAGTACCTGGTATCGATACCTGCCCATCACTAGTATCGGAATTTAACGCGGAAATCTACACAATCGCCGAAGTTATAAATATCAAAATTTTTGCAGTTCAATATTCTTCATGACACAGCAACAAGGCCGGTTTAACTTATACACATTATTATAAATGTTTAAAATCAACCTTAAGGGTAACATCACAGAGCTGCCCTTGTCTTCTGATATCGGCAATAGTAGGAAAAGCATTGATTGGTAGCTCAGGTTGAAAGAACTCAACAACATCGTCTGCCATCTTTGCAGCTCAATAACAAAACATTGAATCAGCCCAGTACCCAGATTATTTCTGAAAGCCTGCTCTATTAAACGCAAAAATTTGCGTAAAATGATTGTATTTCCAACCTTGAATCATTAATCTAGCCTGAAAACGTTGGTAATCTATAGTGATGTCAAGCAGTAACAGTGAATGTTGACGTTAGTTTTGTACTGCTTGATACAAATCTGTAAAAAAAAAAAAAAAGCGCCAGTGAAAACTCAACCTGGGCACCTTTTCTCCCACAAGAATACAATCAATGTCATGTCATGTAAAATACCCTCACCCCCTCCTCTCTCCTTCTCCCCCTCCCCCAATCCCGCGGTTTACAATGCCTAGGCCTGGGATCTATGTTGTTGTTTTTTTACGAATCCATGGTTCATGTTTGAGTTATATTCTGTTGGGGGGGGGGGGGGTGTTGTTGGGTTTTTTTCTCCTCTTTAACAGCTAGAATGTTACAGAATGTCTTCAGCTTACACACACACACAAATGTAATGCTCTGGCCAATGATTATAAATACCGGCTCCGGCTGTGCGAATTAAATTAATTAAGAACCAGACTTGAATTGACCCTAATTGTTTCATTACCTGCACATATTTGATTTACCGGAACATTTGAACTTATTTATTTATTTATTGATGTTGGCGAAACAGAAGCAATAATCACAGATGTTTGACAGGGTATGCAATGGGGACATCAAAATATATGGGCCTAAACTGGCATTGCGCGGGATTCGATAACATGCGAGGTACCCCAGCGCCCATCACGAATTTAATATTTTCTCAAGGGTAATATAGACTAATAGAATAGAAATGGGGGGGGGGGGGCACTAGACCTGTAGATCACTAGGCCTACTCAAGATTCTTGAAAATGACACCCACTGCTCCCAGGTAAATTTACTAACAAAAAGCATGACTGAGAAGAAGGGGTCTTGTACATAGAAATGTATTTTTTGTTTGGCTCACTCACAATAATACATAGGCCTTTACGTTCTTATACTCTTGTATTCTCTGAGCGTCAAGGTATAGGCCTAGATCTATACTCTTACTCTATACCGTGCGAGTAATGAGGTGTGTGTGTGTGTGTGTGTGTGTGTGTGTGTGTGTGTGTGTGTGTGTGTGTGTGTGTGTGTGTGTGTGTGTGTGTGTGTGTGTGATTTCTTTTTGTGTTGTGTGTGTGTGTGTGTGTGTGTGTGTGTGTGTGTGTGTGTGTGTGTGTGTGTGTGTGTGTGTGATTTCTTTTTGTGTTCATTATCAAAATTATTATTATTATTATTATTATTATTATTATTATTATTATTAATATTAATAATATTATTATTATTATTATTATATTATTATTATTATTATTATTATTATTATTATTATTAATATTAATAATATTATTATTATTATTATTATTTGGTAAATGTTTTACGGCGCTCGCGACTGCATAAGGTCATATGAGCGCACGGGACACACAAAACATTTTCAGTTGGTAGGAAATTTTGAGTTTTGCCCGGGTGGCGGCCGAAGCTTACTCTTATCGATCTTAGACCACCAAGGGATCTTTTAACTTTAACGTGCGCAACTTGCACACGAGACCTCCGAGATTTTTCGCCCTTGTCCGAGAACGCCAGGTGTAAATCTTTACTACCAGAAGATCAAGGGTGTGGCTGAAAGAAAGCAGTAAGAAGGAGCCAAGGAGTAGCAGTAGAAAGGCTGCAGAAAGAGTCAGGTGCCCAGAGGAGGGGGCAAAGGAGGTAGGGGGAAGAAAGCGGAGACGACAGCAGACGACAGAACATTGCTAGAGAGCAGGAAAGGAGGTGAAAGGAGACAATTTTAGAGAAGAAAATTTTTCTGTCGCTAGCCGGATTCGAAACCGGGACCTTTGAAAGAGAGGCTTAACTTCAAGTCCTCGAAAGCCCTCAATTGTTATTGTTATTATTATTATTATTATTATTATTATTGACGACATCATAATCGTCTGTCTGTCTGTCTGTCTGTCTGTCTGTCTGTCTGTCTGTCTGTCTGTCTGTCTGTCTGTCTGTCTGTCTGCGTTTGTAAATATGATCACAATTTATTCACATTTCACGAAGCGGCGAAATGGTAAAAGGCAAGACAATATTGTTTCGGCTGATCCGAGGCCTTCGTTGGGAGATTTTGATAGTCTGCTTGCGCTGGCTTTTTCGTTGCACAAAATACATAGGCCTATAAATGAATAAACACGAACTCAGATTCACGAACATAATGCTCACTTCTGTTTTTTCCATTTCTTAAAATAAAAAAACAACTAATTAATGCGATAGCAGTCTTCCCGTTTGTTTCCGCTATTGTGTTTTAAGACAGACGTTCACATCATACATTTGAAAGATAACGACATGTCAATGCTACACTTTTTTTTTTCAGCTGAGATTTTTTTTAGTCTTCGTACGAACCACACCGTTCTGTTCATGTTTGTATTTTTAAATACTGAAGACGTTGATATTTTGACTAAGTACTATCAAACCTTATTATACCGCCACATTGGGACTAGCATAAAGTTGTCGGAACAGTGGGGATGGCGGTTTAACGGGATCCTTTATTATATAGCCCCGACTGCCCAATGTCAAGGAATATGATTCTGCCGTGCGATCTGTGTTTGAAAAGTGCCATTTTCGTGGGAGAAAGATGATCAAGGTTGTTGTGTTTTTTGTTTATTTGTTTTCGTGTTGTTGTTGTTGTTTTTTGAGTGGGGTAGGTTTCTCTTTGACTCCATCGACCAATCTTGGTCTTGGTCTTCGTCTTGCTTTGAAGCTATGGATTCTCACATTGTTGGTCTTTGAGATTGGCTGTTGGGGCCCCATTCCCAAAACGTGTCCAAATCAATTGATTCGTTGTCTCTCGGTGTACCGTTACTGTATTGCACGTTTGTTTCGGTGTCCATTTTAGTGTCTTCGCTTCTTTGTCTGTCTCTTTTCATTATGTTTAGCTTCTTTCTCAGGCTTTTAATTTGTTTCGCATGCTGTTATTTTACTTTACTTTGATTTATTGAGGGTTCAGAATTAGCACTGGTAATAGAAAATTGATATTGATCTAGATCTACTGGGATTTTTTTGGGGTCCAATGGGATATTTTGATGTTTTAATGCTCTTTTTACTCCTGTATGAACTCATTCAAAGCCGGGACATGTTATCTTTTCGGCTTAGTATATTATTTAGGTCATTTCGTATCTATCTATCTATCTATCTATCTATCTATCTATCTATCTATCTATCTATCTATCTATCTATCTATCTATCTATCTATCTATCTATCTATGGGGTTTTTTAGTCTCTATATATACGATCAGATTGGGATACGACAGAATAGGTTGTTTGCGTCTGAGACATTGAGATATCAATCTATCTATCTCTCTCGACTTTTGAATTTATATTTCTATCTCTTAATGCTATCCGATGGGACACGATAGGAATGTTATTTGAGCTTGAGACTTTGAAATCTGGAGGACTGCCAAACAGATAGATTAAGCAGGCAGGGATCGTTTGAAGGTTGATATCTCATAGGAAAGCTTGGTCTCGACGGGAAGTCACAGACGGCCCTGGTTTAAACTAAAAGATGGAAGGAGAGAGGTGAAGAGAAGAAGGCAATGTGGGCGCCACAAGGAATATGAAGGTTAGGGAGACCAAGAGGTACTTGGAGATGAAAGCCATCACGAAAGCCTTTAACTGGATTAAGACGACGGAGTATCAGTCTGCCATCCTCGTCACCGACTCGATGAGTATCCTCGTAAAAGTGAAGAAACACGTGATGTATGCAGACTGGAAAGAGGCAATACAAAGTAGCAGACTCCCAAGGATTGTATGGATCTTAAGCCCTGGTCATGCAGAAGTTCGACTCCAAGGCAATGAACATGCTGATAAGCTAGCCGGCCAGGTTGAGATTGGCGGCACCATGCAATTAGATCCACTAAGAGTCAGGGCGGCATTGACAGCATGGTTCTACGACCACCGAGAGGATGAGCACCACTTCACACACAATGGGTAGACTAAGGGAAGCTGATGTTTCCAGAGGGTCGGGGAGAGACAGCAACATGCGTGGAAAAGCCAGAAAAATATCCAAACAGCTGTTAACAAGAAACGATCTGCTGGCAGACCCTTTCGTGGATCCTGGAGAGGAGAGAAGAACAGCTATGGCATTGTGCCGCCTGCAATGACGCCTATTCTCAAACCAAGTAAGTAAGAGGTACATGTACTTGGAAGGTGGAACAGTTGAGGATGGAAACAAGAAACAAGAAAGATGAGGAGCAAGATGCATCTATTACCTGTTATGGGGGTCCGTAATCTATCTATCTATCTATCTATCTATCTATCTATCTATCTATCTATCTATCTATC